ATATGTAATTTAAAAGCAAGCTTTTTTTTGTAAAAACTTTAATTGAATTTTAATAAAGTTAAAGGCATAGCCTCATCGTTAATATTAAAAAAAATAAATAAAATAAAGCTATGCATCTTTGGATTGAACAAGATATAAGTGGTCAAATATTTTTGACAGATTTGATAGTTAAAAAAAAGGCTGCTTTTTTTGCTTAGACATTAGGTTTGCCAGATAACATATTAAAATTTTCAAATAGTTAGATTTATAAATTTAAAAAAAAGAAATAATATACAAAGCTATTGGTTATATAAAGAAGCCAATAGTGCAATATTAAAAATACTTCTAGAACAAAGAATAAAATTTTGTAAAATAATTAAAGAATATCTATTAGAAAACATTTTTAATGCAGATGAGACAGATTTATATTTTTGCATGATACTACACCAAATGCTCTTATTACAACTACAATCAGAATAAAAAAAGATCATTTTTTATATACAAGTTTAACTAGAATTACAATTTGTTTTAATTATTAAATTACTTTTTTAAGATTATGCACATATAACTGTAATATTAGCAACAAATGCAACTGGAACTGAAAAATTAAAACCAATAGTTATTGATCTTCTATCAAACCTTATGCTTTAGCTTATTTAAACTATAATACTTTATCTTTTACTATTGGTCAAATTTAAAAGCCTGAATATGCTTTGATATTTTTTGTAAATAATTTATAAATTTTAACAGAAAGTTTTACTTAGAAAACTAGCAAATTTTGTTGTTAGTTGATAGTGCATCGAGCTATTATAATTCTAATGAGAATAATTCTAATAAAAATAATAATGCTAATAAAGATATATTAGAATCGAATGATGAATCAAACAATGAAAAAAAGAAATCAGAAAGTGGAGAATCAGATAGTAAAAAAAGTTATACAAACTTATCTAAAAATTTATATACTTAATGTGACCATGGCTGTTTAAGGTTAAATGCTAGTAATATAAGTAAACAAAGTAGATAAGGTTCTTGTAATCATGGTTGTACACATGCTCATAAGAAGGCTAGCAAGAGTCATCATGATTATGCTTATTTTTATACAATTTCAGAACTTTCTAAAACTTATTTAACAAATATTAGACTAGTGTTTTTGCCACCTCACACTACTGCTCATCTGCAACTATAGATAAAGGTATAATTAATAGTTTTAAAACAAGATACAAAAAAAAAATATACAATATATAATCAATTAATTTGAAAAAGAAGAGAACTTATAAACATAAGAACATATAAATAAAAAAATTTAGAATCCTAGCATTACTATTTTAAAATTTTATACAGTAATTTTGTTATTAAATTAAAGTCGGACTTTTCTATTAGGTTAGATTAGATTAGAAAGCTTTATTAATAAAGTAAAAGCAAGAATTCTTAAGGAAAAACTTTTTGCTAATATATAGAAGAGTAAAATTTTGAATTGTGAACAATTTTTTAATTTTGGCCTTTTCATTACATATAATCTTAAAATATGTTTGGCTAATAAAATTTTTTGTGATAATGCTAAAGCATTTATTTAATCTGATTATAGGCTAAATTTTATTTCAGTTTGGCCTCAATGCTACTGTATTGCACTGCATATAATATCCTCAAAATAGCATTAATTACTAATTAGTATATAGTACACATATCTGCACTATATATAGTATTCAACAGTACCATCTTTTTTATTAAGTTATTGCTGCTTTTTTATATCACTTATTTTTCTGTAAATGTTTTTAAAAAAGTTTGCTAATTTAATCTTATTTGAATTATTTAGGAAAAAGTTAAACATTAGAGAAGTGTTAACATATATTTCAAAATTATAAAATAAAGTTAAATCATTAATAACTATAAATTGTTAGATAAAAACTAGAATTTTTTCAGTATTATCTGATATTGAATTAAAGATGCTATCTTTGCTGTTCAAGTTTTAGTTGAAGTTAAAAAGGATGAAACTAATGAACTAATTATAAACTTAATAACCAATTTATTAGATTTAACAATTAAATGTAAGATAAATGAATTTAACAGTTTAAATAGCTTTCAAATACCTACAAAGAATATTCTTGATAAAACACAATAATGAATATTGTACTAAATAAACAAAAAGAGTATGAAGAAGATGATGTGAATAATACTGATAAAGAACTATCTGAAATTCCTATTATAGAGAAATTGAACAGTTTAAAAAAATTTGTAAGTTTTTTTGAGCAACAAAAAAATAATGATTTTATTATAGAAGAAAGTTTCAGAAAATATCAGTCATTAATAGGAAGAAAGTATATAAAATCAATAAAGCAGAAATTAATTGCAGATTTTTTCTTATTTGTCTATAATTAATAACATAGTGGTTTTTTTTAGTCCAATTTTTTTTTCTCTTTTTTTCAATTTTTTTCAATTTTTTAATATTTTTTTTAAAAAAATTTTGTTTTCTTATATAAATTTTTTTCTTGCACAAATTTTTTTTTTTGTGCAATTTTTTTTTATTTTGCTTAATCTTTTTTCTTTTAAGTTAGAAAATAAAATTTTTTTTACAGCATTAGCTCATTTAATTAATACTGTCAGGTCAAATTGTTTATAATTAGAAGATTATAAATAATTCAACTTGAAATATAATTGTTATAACAAAATCTGTAATATTAATCTGTTAGGCAAATTATATTAAAGATAAGTTATCAACTCTGGTTTTTACTTTTTAGTACTGCTTTATATGTAGTATGCAAAATCTTAAAGCTTTTATTTTTTAAACTAATTAGTACCCAGATATATGTGTATAGTGTTCTTATATGTGAACTTAATTTTGCAAATCTGAATAAGCTATATTATTATATAAAAGCAGTATATTTCAATGATATAATTTCAAAAAAAAGTATTACTGTATTGCTAATGTATAAGATTCATTAAAGTATTATAATAACAATAATAAAAATAGATATTTTGAGATAGTTGTTAAATAATATAAATGTTAAGTAGCTGATATAAGATTATAGAATTCTAACAGATTGCAATATTATTAAAAGTAAGCTTATAAAAAAAAAATGATAAATATTGTAGAACTTAAGTAATAGCTTCAATTTAATCTAAGATACTTTATATAATCAGATACTATATTTGAATATGTTTATATCTTTGAGTATTATTCAGAATTAGGTTAAAAAGTATAATAAATAATATCTAGGTTTATTATTTTATAAGATTATATTTGTTATATCATTTTACAATATTGATTACAATATAACTATTACTAATATAGAATTATTATATTAATATTTAGAATAAACCAGTTGTATAAAAATGTTTTAGTAGTTAATTGTGTTTTTTTTATTAATATAGAGATTAAAATCAAACTCTTAATTTATCAAATATTCAAATTGATTTGATTTGCATTTATATTCAAATTAAATTTAAATATTTGTATATAAATTTATATGAAAAATAGATGCTATATATGCAAGATAGCTGTTATATATATAGCTTTTAAAGATATACAATGCTATTATAACTATTATAGTCATTATAACTGATATTACAATTATAACTGTTATAATCTTATAAAAATATTCTAATGTCTAACTATTATAAACATATTTGAACTATCTAACTGTTTTAACAGAAATTAATAGTTAAAATAATTTATATGAATCAATATACAAATTAATAAATTTGAATATTATATGAATTCAAAATAAGTTTAAATATAAAAATTAAGTTTGATTCTAATCTTTATATTAATATATATTTAATTATTTTATGTTTAAATATTTAAATAGTTATTAAATTAAGTATAAATATAGTAGTTATTATTTTTATATTTAAACTACAGTATTTTAGAATTTTAATTTTATAATTTTAGATAATTTATTAAATTAATTATTGTTAATAGGGATTGGGCTCTATAGCTTAATTGTTAAGCTGCCAACTTTTTACAGATAAGGTCAATAATTCAAGTTAGACTGAAGACAAAAATCTAAGGATTTTAATTCTATAATCTAATATAAGAGTCAAATTAAATATGAAGCCCTGTGACAAGTTCCAAGATAAAGTATAAGGATGAATTAGAAATTCTTGAAAGAAGATCAACTTTGCAGAGAGAAGGTACTATGTATAACAGTAGCATTACAAAAGGTTCTACTACATAAAGTATTGCATAGGTAAGTTTTTTTAATGGCAAGGGCAGCACCAACATCTCTGTATTTAACTTGCAAAGTACTTGATTAGAAGGGTAATACTAATATAACAAAACTAAAATAGTGAGTGAAGTGGTGCATACAAGAAGATCTGTAATAAAGGGTTAGCTTAACCAAATTAGAACATCTTTGGCAGATACTATAAACTATTAAGAAGCAAGACAATAGTTGTATATCACAATATCATTGATAGTTACTATATTTGTATATAATAAGTTAAGGTTTTAAATCTTTTTGAAATACCAAATTGAAAGTACAATAGTATAACAACTATGGAAGTACACAAAAAAGAATATATTGTTAACCTGTAGTTTTTTCTTTAACTATAGTGATATCAGAAGCTGTTCAACTATAGTATGATGACTATAACTTGACAGATTCTATCCAAAAGTCTACACAAGACTTAACACAATACAGAGTGA